GGGGGGGGGGGCAGGCAGGCAGGCAGGTAGGCAGGCCGGGATTGTCGTCGTGCCGGCCGGCCGGCCGGCCACTTTTTGCATGAGTTAGATAGACGGGCGTCGGTCTCCTTCGCCTCGGTCCGTCCGTCATTTTGCCATCCATCATTCACCCACCACGTACACCCACCTGCCTACCTACCTTGTTTCCTTCCCTGCAACCTCGGTCGGTGTCGTGCCTTCAACTTTTTGCGCCGTCTACTTGCCTCCTCTGCCTGCCTGCCTGCCTGCGTTGTTTGTGCAGCACACAGGGATCCATCCCATCTCTTGACGACTCATCTCCCTCCCCCTGACTACTGGCTGTCTTGCACTGCACGTACGAGTACCACCTGAGACGGACAGACGCTGCGTACGGGCTACTACTACCTGCCCGCCTGCCCGCCTGCCTGCCTGCCTTCATGGCTGCATCCATCGATTGGTCCATCCATGCTTTATCTAAACGTTGTTTGTTGGTCTATTTTGCATCTTTCTTCCATCTGTCTGCCTACCTGTGTGTGGGTGCGTGCGAGTGTGTGTGGCGTGCCTAAGGAGGAGGGACTCTGCAACTTCCGTCCGTAGGTCAATTAAGGTGCCCGGCTGTCTGTCTGCCTGTCTGTCTGTCTGCTTGTGTGATGCCTGGCTGCTTGGGTGCCTGGCTGGATTGCAATGTGAGTGTGGTCGTGTACGGCCGACCTTTGTGTGGCATCGAAAGGTCCCGTTTATGTAAGTGTTGTGTGTACGCAAGGGAGTGTGAGCGACTGACTGACAGACCATCCGACGATCGAGCCGTTGGTTCGGCTCCGACTAGCTAGCGACACGAGAGACAGACAGACAGATGGATACAACAAGCAAGATGACGATGGATAGATGGATGGATGGAGAGAATCTGGTTGTATGATGTGGCGTCATGTGTGGTGAGAACGGTTTGCCGGTCGGCTGCTCCTCTTGTGATGCCGTTCTTATGAGTCTTCATGGTGACCTCGGTGTCGGGCACACGCAGAACGCCACTGGTGAGAGTGGACCCTCCCACGATGTGGTGTTCTGTATGTCCTCGATCCCCTGGCGCCACTGGACCAGGTCTACGAGAAGGCCACGAGGGTGAGTGTCGGTCATCCGCTATGTGTGTTTGTTGGTGGCCCCTGGGTGTGTCTGCCTGTGTGGATGCGAGGACTCAACACGTACTCTTGATAAAGGAATTTTCGAGTCCCTCACCTCACACGACCAGACACAAATCAATCCACCCGCTAACCAACAAACGCCCCTCCCTACTAATCAATCTCTTTTGTTGAAGTGGCTGTCTGGCGGGAGTGTGTGGTGCATGTTGTGCCTCTCTGGGTCTTGGAAGACATAGCCCCTAACGTCCCACTTGGGGTGGTCGCAGATGACGAACCCCCGCACATACAGCAGGAAGGCCTCCAGGTGGATGCGAAACACCGTCAGCAGAGAACGGGGCCAACGCAATAAAGAGAACTCGCCCCGCCTGCAACAGACAGACAGACCAATGCAGTCAATGCAGCAGATCCCGGCGGCTTGGCTGCCAGTCATTCATTGGTCACATGACATCTAGCTGACCTGAGGTCGATGGCGGCGAACATGATGGACTGGTGGGTCTGCTTGTCCATGACCGACACCTTCATCTCGATTCGGTCAGGCAGATGCCACCCAAGGGATGCGGGTCTTGGTGTGGATGTGGATGTCGGCCCGTCACTCGTCTGCACTGGTCTTCTCCTTAGGTGGAGTCTGTCGAGGTGTGGGTAGGTGAAGCGGTACACCAGACCCGAATGGGGGTTGAACGGCGACCTGTGGCCATCCATACGCCCAGCACAGCACAGACCACATAAACACATCAGGGAGGGACATCATATCGACCTGTGTTGCCTGCCCTGCCCGACACGTGCGCGTCTGTTTCAAGCATTACACGTGCATCTTCTTGTCCTGGAGTGAGTGCGACAGCTCCACCTCACACCAGTCGTCGCTCTCGTCGCCATTGGCATCGATCTCACTCCCGTCGGACGCCACACTCGATGGAGTGGGCGGGGTGGGAGGCCGGGCAGTGGGCCTGACGGGCGTCACGTAGGCAGTCCGCTCCAGCCACGGGATGTTGTGCACCTCGTGCACCAAATACAACAAGTCACCTGTGTTGTGTGCGAGGCGAGAGAGCGCACAAACAAACTGAGAGCGGGCGACAGACACGGTGGTTGGTTGGGCTGGGACATACCATACCTACCGGTGTCGTCATCACAAACGAAGACGATGCTGATGGGGTTAAATGAGTAGCCCAGGTAGTCCGCACCAGTCAAAACGTACATGCGCAGCCTCCGGCCGTCCAGCACAGCGGCGCCCTCTGCAGTACTATTGGCTGCTTGTTCTTGGCACAGGCGCAGCACCTCCTCATTCAGCGGCCGGCCCTCGCGATGCTTGAGGTGCCGACTGCGGTTGAAGCGCACCAGCCAAGTGTCCACGGGTGTGCTCAGATTCATCAGGTCCATCCGAATGAAGTAGCTAGTAGCAAACACACACACACACAGATGCGTCCAATGGCAGAGGCAGATCTGTGTGATGGATCTTTCTCAAATCTCCCTACCTGAATCTGTTGGCGGGTTTGTCTCCTCGCGGCATCCTGTAGTGCAGCGTGGTGCCTTCGTAGCCATGCACGTCGAATCTCTCACTCGCCGCCCGGCTTGCTCGTCTGTTCCACCGCCACAGCAAACGCCAAACAAACAAACAGAGGGTGCTCACCGCAGCCACAGCAAGCGCCCAAGCTGGCGCAAGCGGCCCTGTCATGCTGGGCAGGATACACGCAGTCGTGAGAGAGCGGTTTCACGCCTTGCCCCCTTCCTCTTTCCAAGCTCGCCTTCTTTCCAAACACATGAGTGCGGCAGCGGCTGTTCAGCGTCCCACTTCGGTGCCCGAACCGAGTGGTGCGGCTCATGGTGGTCAGACGGCGACGGGCATCCGCGCCTATTACGAGTCCAAGATAGAGGAGCTGGAGGCCGTCATCGCCGACAAGCTACAGAACAACAGACGGCTCGAGGCGCAGAGAAATGAACTCAACTCCAGAGGTGAGAGAGTGCACGTCACAAGATCACCCTCGCCGGCTGGCACATAGCACACACGTGTGTGTTGCTTGCGTGTCTGTGTTGTTCATTGTACGTACATGGATCAGTGCGGGCTCTCCGAGAGGAGTTGACGTACCTGCTGGAGCCGGGTTCGCTCGTCGGTGAGGTGGTCAAGGCAATGGGCAAGAAAAAAGTGCTCGTCAAGGTACGGACGGATGAGCACGATGGATGCCTCTTTGATTGATTGGCCAAAGTCACCGTGTCCATGCCTGTCTGTCTGTCCGTGTGTTGTGTGCAGGTGCCTCCCGAGGGCAAGTATGTGGTAGACATCGACAAGGGCATCGAGATCGCCGATTGTGCGCCGAACACGCGCGTCGCGTTGCTGAACGACTCGTACAAGCTGCATAAGATCCTGCCCTCCAAGGTGGACCCCCTTGTGTCACTCATGAAGGTCGAGAAGGTGCCGGACTCCACCTACGAGGTCAGCAACTGACACACACACACACACACACTAGAACAGTCGAAAGGCAGCCCGACACAAGAACTGACGCACGTGTGCGTGTGTGCATGTGTCAGATGGTGGGTGGTCTGGAGAAGCAGGTCAAGGAGGTGAAAGAGGTGATCGAGCTGCCCATCAAACACCCAGAGATATTCGAGTCACTCGGCATCGCACAACCGAAGGTCAGCCAGCACGCACTATCTATCCGGATGGGCAGGGAGTGACCACACACACTGTGGGCTGGTTTGCTTCCAGGGTGTGTTGCTGTACGGTCCTCCGGGCACCGGCAAGACGCTGCTGGCTCGTGCAGTGGCGCACCACACCGACTGCACCTTCATCCGCGTGTCTGGGTCGGAGCTCGTGCAGAAATACATCGGCGAAGGCTCACGTATGGTTCGCGAACTCTTCGTCATGGCCAGGTACACACACACACACCCCCTCACACACAGGCGCACCTTATCTGATGGATGGATGGATGGATGGGGTGCCCCCTGCGTGGTCTTCCTTCCTTGCTTCATTCCTTCCCTTGTCGCTTTGTGTCCCTCCCCCAGGGAGCATGCTCCGTCGATCATTTTCATGGATGAGATCGACTCGATCGGCAGCACGCGCATCGAGGGGGAGCACGGGGGCGACAGCGAGGTGCAACGCACCATGCTGGAGCTCCTCAACCAGCTCGACGGATTCGAGTCCACACAGAACATCAAGGCAAGCAGCCTAGCCTGTCTCTCTGTCTGTCTGTCTGTCTGTCCATGGATTGCAAATATGCTGGGTGTTGAATGCTCTGTGTTGTGGGATGGTGTGTGTTAGGTGATCATGGCGACGAATCGCATCGACATACTGGACGAGGCGCTACTGAGGCCGGGCCGCATCGACAGAAAGATCGAATTCCCCAACCCGAACGAAGAGGTCAGCCAGCCAGCAACGGCAGACATGCACGGAACGAACGAACGCGCCACATCCATGTGCCGATGCATGCATGCATGTGTGCGGTGTGCGTGTGTGCCAACCACAGGCCCGTGCCGAGATTTTGAAGATCCACAGCCGCAAGATGAACCTGATGCGCGGGATCGACCTCCTCAAGATCGCCAGAGAAATGACCGGGGCCTCAGGCGCTGAAGTCAAGGTCAGCTCCCCATCCACTCCACCTACAATAATCACACTCCACTCGTGTGTGTGACGTGTGTGCTGTGCTGTGCGTGTCGAGTACCTATAGGGCGTGTGCACGGAGGCGGGTATGTTTGCGCTTCGCGAGCGTCGCGTGCACGTGACGCAGGAGGACTTCGAGATGGCCGTGTCCAAGGTCATGAAGAAGGACTCCGACAAGAACATGTCACTCAAGAAGCTCTGGAAATGAGCAACAGGCAGACAACGACCGACCGACCGACACACAGTGCACGTCACCCACCGAGAGGGAGGGAGGGAGGGAGGGAGGAAGGTGCAGGGGAGGGAAGGGGATTTTTCGTGTGCGCTGCGTGGCGGGACCTGCGATATTCTATTTACCTACATCCATCCTGGCGAATGTCACACACACACTCTGCATACAATCCAAACACGTCGGAAAGAGCTTAGTAAGTGAAGAAGGGTGCTTCGTTGGCATGCAGGCAGGCTGTCGCGGCATCTTCATGCAACCACAGGGTTTAGGGTGTAGGGTGTAGGGTTTCCTGAGGCAGATCTCGCCTCGTCTTTCCTCCTCCTCCTCCTCCTCTTCCTCCCCTCCCCCCTCTTCCTCCTCTTCCTCCCCTCCCCCCTCTTCCAGATCTGGCCTTGTCCAACGATCACCTCGTCGCTGTCAGATGTCGAAGCGGCCTCCGCAACTCTCCTGTCAGGAATCTGCCAATGGTGACAGCTCTCCTCACCTCGTGCCATTGTGCGGACACACTCCCGCCACTGACTGGGTGAGGCAAAAGCACCTCGGAAACGGAAACCGTTGTACCTTCAAAGTTGCCTCGTGTGTGTGTTTGTGTTGTGTTCATGTGAAGATGGACGCTCGGGAGCCGACTTCAGACACGGTGAGTGACATCGCACACACCGATTAGCTCCATTTCATGTGTTGCGCGTGAGGATGTATGTCGCAGGTGACGCTGGATGTACCGGTGGAAGAGCAGCCTTGCCGCCTCTATAAAGACAAGCGGCGTCCCTATTCCTCTCGCGAGTTAAGCTCTCATTGGACGCCGCCTGTTCAGCTGCAGCTGCATCTCCTCGGCATCAAACACATTTGGGGTTCTACATTCTTCGCATCGACTTGCCATGTCCAAACATTGCGGTGGCTGACGTGGTGGCTGTGCCTCTGCACCGGCGTGCTGGCTCTTTCTGCATTCCTTATGCATCGGCGGGCCCAAATCAACGAGCGGCACAGTCCACTGGACTTCATCAAGGCGCACATGCTGATGCCTTTCTATGCCATGCAGTGCCCTGCGAGCAGCTCCGCCATGTCAGCATCGTGCGCTATGCCGCGGGTGTTCATAATATCGGCCCGTCCAGAAGACGACGCGAGACGCATTCGTTCCCGTCCCTCATGGGCGTCCCGCTTTGATATGACGATAATCAATACCACAGCGCCAAGCCTTGAGTACAATCGGCGGAGCAAGTGCCGGACTATCACCTTCGGCAACCGCCTATTTTACACCTATCAGTCGGTGTTCAGGAGGGTGCTGGCCAACTACTCTGATCCAGGGTTCATCTTCATCGAAGACGGTACTCATATGCCGCTGCACACGAGGCACCATGAAGATCCCTCATTCACTTGCAATGCCTCCGTGTGTCTGCAGATGTGGAGCTCGCTGACGCTGAATCCTTTCGGAAGGAGGCATATCAAGCGGCGCAAGATCGGCGGCCATTCTACTCTCTATGGCGGGCCTCACCTGTGTCTCAGCCCACGTGCATCTACGCCCACGGAACGTGTGCCTTCTATGTCACCAGAGGGATGATGCAGCAGCTCATCGCCGCCCCAATGGATGTCCAGTGTCGGCTGCCTATCGACATCTACATCGCGTCAACAGGCCCCTGGTACAGCACACAGGAGCAGTGCGTGACGCACGAACCGGGCGGGCGATGCCGGCGCTGCGGAACAGGGCCGTGATGATGATGATGATGAACGAGATGGGTGTCGTGAGAGTGGAGTTGGGCTCGGGAGCATTCACATATCGGCCGACGAGGGGCTCTGTGCTGCGTGGTGCACTGGTGGGGCAGAGCAAGTGAATGAATGGGATACGTGGTCATCCCATTATATGTATGTGCGTGTGCCGGACGAGTGAATGTGTGGGTGCGTGTGTGTCGATATGCTTCATCTGTGTCGATAAGGACAGTCATGCTGTGTCTATCCATCGGGCGTGTGCATGCATGCTGATGGATGTGACTGTGGTACACGCGTCTGCACGCCCGACGGCTGTTTTAGGTGAAAATAGCGAGTAGGAAATAGTGAAGAGTGATTGACCGCAAGTCAGACAGCGACGACTGAGCGAACGGGGGAGGCAGTTTTCGTAGGCCACACCCCAGTGCTTTCTACGGATAGCCACTTCCTTCATGCGTTCATAGGAGACGCAAATGAATGAATGAATGATTTATGCGATTGGTCGATACTTCCACACTCGTGGGGTGCATTCCATTATGTCAGGAACGGATGTCATTCATTGTCAGCGCTCATTCTCTCATTCATTCACTCACACACACTGTAGGATGAGCATGTAGCGTGTGTGTTTCTGTGCCTGTCTTGTCTCTTGCTCCTCCTCACTTCGCCTCACTCTCGATCGCCTTCCGCAGCATCGCATGATTCCTTCACCACGCGCACACACACACACAGAACGCAGAGAGAGCTGGATGTGTCTAAAGGCACGATTTCTTTTGCCAGTGTCTCTTCAATTTACTTTGCCGACAGGGCCTCGCGGTTTTCTGCCCCCTTTGTCTCGTCTTGCGACTCGCTCATGATGGGCTCCTCACTTGATGCTTCTTCCGCAGGCGTCAATTCCTAAACACAGGAGCCACATCACAGACGACTGCGCGTGCCTGTGTGCTCCTTTGATCAACTGACGTGGTGCGTGTCCGCATCCGAGATCGCTGGCTTGATGGCACCATCGAGTGGGGGTACATGAGGATCGACCTTGCTCTGGGGGTAAAACAGACAGTCCTGCAATGCATCCGACACAAACGAACGAACAAGCAAACAATGAAACAGACAGGCAATTGATGAGTGCTCGTCTCTTCCTTGCTCTTCTGTGTGCTTGGCTGACTGTGTTGTCGGAAGAGGCAGCTGCAGGCTGCACAGAGATGGCGAGTGATTCGTCGAGCACAGCCAGCACCAAAAAGGCGAACACAGCGAGGCTCAATCGATATCGCGCCATGACAGTCGACAGCCAGTCAATCGGAGCTCTCCTTTCTGTTTGCGTGGATACGTCGTTGTTTCGTCTCGCCAAAGAAGCAAGACGGCTGCGGTGATTTCATTGTCTGACGATCGATCGCTCGAGTACATATATACATGCATACATTGACTGTGTATGTCTGTCTGTCTGTCTGTCATTGGCACACATTCCGTGTCTTGCCGTGTCGATCACTATGCACACACAGTACTGTTAGTGAGCTAAATGCATCCATCAATCACAACAAATGTCTGTCTGTCTGTCTGTCTTGCCCACGGCCAGCTAGCTACTTGCACCCACTGCCTAGGCCTACGAGAACCACGACAGCATTTTTCGTCTCCTGGTTCGCCCCTGCACAAACTTGGAGTAGTCCATCGCATCGCCAAGGGCAGCCCTGACCACCGACGGCACCCTCGCAGGCCGCCCCGTCGTCCTGTTCAGTCCAACAAACGTGTGCCGTGCCTCGAACACGGGCGCCCCTCCCCGTGACGCCAGGCCTACGAAGCCCACGTCAAACGAGCTGTTGCCCCACCGTGTCACCATGCCCTCGACAATGAAGCGGTCGCGATGCTTGAGGGGCCGGTGCCACACCACCGTGGTCTTTTTCATCAGGGGATCCCAGCCAAGCCCCTCCAGCACACCCTCCTTGATCCGCTGCTCGAACGCCGCATCGAGAGTGTCGAAGCAGTAGCGGAGATGGTTCGGATGATAGACGATACCGCCGAGGTCGCACTCATCGAAGCGGACACGAAAGTGGCGACGGAAGGGGCGCTTTCTTGTGCGGTCAAGGAAGCTGAGGCGATGAGAACTCCGAGCAGATCTTCCTTGGATCTCGGGGCTGCGAAGAGATCTTCCTTGGAGCTCGCCGAAAATGCATGACAGCAGCACACAGTTCAACCAGTATGTCCACAGCGACAACATGTCCACTGGCGGCTTTCGGGCTTCAAGCTCGCATGCTTCGAGCTAGGGTGCTTCCTCAAATCGGTGCTGTGGGAGCTTCCGTGATAGGCTCTTCCTCTTGACAGAGTTTGATTGCCGTTCGTTCAGGGCACCGATCATGTCGCTGGGGTGGTTGTCCGAGTCTGCGCTCATCCCCAAGCCGGCCAAGCCCATCGACGTATCCTCAGCGTCCCTGGGCGCCCTGCGGGCTGCTGTGTACGAGAAGGAGTCAGCTGCCAAGAAGCGCCAGCTGGAAACAGGGTCAACGCAGACCAAACCAACGAAAAAGGTACGGAGAACAGAGACACGGTTTGCGCACAAGCAACGAAGCTGTACGTATCACTGTGTGTGGTGATGATGGTGATGACACATGTGTATCGTCAGTTTCGGACTCGGGAGGAGTTGCTGTTGGACGAGAAGAACGAGGGTGTGGCGGCGCGCGAGGCTAAGGACAAGAAGGAGCAGGAGCGGACAGCCAGGAACTTCACCAACAGCAGGAGGAAGCTCGAGGAGAAGGCACTCATATACGAAAGTATCAGTGAGTACATCAGCCAACACAAACACAACGCAACGTGTCTGTGGCGACGTTTGTTGTGCTGTGTTCTGTGCGCGCAGTGAGAGGTGAGGCTAATGGCAAGGACATGATGGGCGTCAGCGCCTTGGTCGACTTCGACCAGAAACTCTACGAGAAGTACGCCGAAGACGCCAAGAAGATGGAGCAGCAGATTGAGGGGTGAGCTGACAACAGACATCACACCTCCGCACAAGCAAGAATGACAGACTGACGACGGCTGTTCTGTGTGTGTGTGTGTGTCTTTGTGGAATCACCTCAATCAGGGGCACGATGATGTCAGAGAGCATGAAGCTCGAACGTCAGAGGCTGCGGTGGGAGAGGGGGGCCCAGAGGTCACTGGAGGGACAGTCGTCCAGCGCTACGGCAGCTGACGATGCACCTAATCCCCTTCCGAGCGGTGAGCGAGCATCGATGGCATGGCACTACATCGACCGTGCCAACGTCCCTGTTGTGTGTGTGGCTGTCTGTATGCAAGGTGCGGTGAGGCAGATGTTCGATTGCCCCCTGCTGGACGAGGCGGGCAGGGAGTTCACCAACGACCTCCACAGAGACGTCGAGAGGTAGTAACCCACCCAGTCAGTCAGCCAGCCACCCTACCCACACCATACATGCCATGCCATGCCATGGAGGCCTCCTTTTTGTTGTCTTGTGTGTGCAGCAAGAGGTCCCAGCTGGTGGACAAGAAAAAACAGACACGCGAGGGCCTTAGGTGAACAGCACACACACACGCGTGCACGCAAAACGGGATCATGTGCCTGATCCATTCCTTGCTTTGTTGTGGGTGTGGGTGTGTCAGGTCTCAATTGCAGAAGAGACGAGAAGAAAAGCAGAAGGAAAAGGAAAAGGACAAGGAGGGCAAGGGCGACGCTCGAAGTTAGCCAGCTGGCGAGGGGGGGCAGGGGCAGGGGCAGCCTCCTGTGTCTTTTCTAGATACTGACTGACCCGTTCTGTGGGTGTTCTGGTGCACCCACTGCACAAGGCTGTGTTACATACTGACTGCCATGTGAGTGAGTGGACGGATGGTATAGTACACACGTGCACTATTCCAGTTGGTTGCATCAATGTCGTTGATCGCGATCTCACCCCTCGCCCACCCACGCACGCACGAAGACCTAGCCAGAAAAAAGTCGACAGCTCTCACACCACACATGACTGACACGCATCTAGAAAAGGCAGACGGCCGGAGGATCTGTCCTCACAGAGGGCCTTGACGACATGCAATACGACCATGATGCAGCAGCCACATGCGCCCACCCGCTCATCCAGTTGCTGTTCAGCGTGCAGTTGTGGCTGTGCTGGCGCCCGACTCGATGGTCACGTTGAGCCCATTGGCTTTCAGCCGGTCGACTGCCTTGGTCTTGTCGAAGGCAAAGGCGGGCGTGAGCACTCCGCCAGCGGGCATCTTGTCCTGAGTGATGGATGCCACAAAAGACAGACACAGACACGGAAAGGAATGAAGGCTGCCTGGCTGCCTGGCTGGCTGGCTGGCTGGCTGGCTGCGTACCCTTTCCTCCAGTAGACAAAGGCCCAGCTGGGCGATGGACATGCTCGTGAAGGCGTAGCCAATCTCTGCACAGGGGCGGTGCGGGAGATAAGTCCGGCAGGGGCGCATGGTGATGGGATACTCACTGCTGGGATTGGCCGACCTACCTGGCCCCTTGAGTTTGACCGTCACGTCCAGGTCTGACTTGGCATCCTTGTCCGTGGGAGTGCTCGAGAAACTACACGCACACGCACACGCACAGATCAATGCGGCCATCCATCCATTGCTGCGTATGGCTGCGTGTGATGTACCCCGATGCGAAGATGGTCATCTCAAAGCCGCCCTGAGCCACCTGCTCCTTCGTCGGACCTATACGAGCACAGACAGCATCATGCGTTCATTCATTCACGATGCAATGCGTCTGTCTGTCTCTGCCTGTCTGTCGGGGTGAGTGGGTCCGGTCCCCGACCTGAGTGTGTGAACATGCCGTATGTGAAGATTCCTGGAGCGGCCAGCAGCAGCTGCCGGCCGAGGGAGTACTTGGCGAGGAAAGAGAACATGCCCCCAAACAGCATCTGGCCGACACACAGACAGAGACCCACCATATGCTATGCGATAGCATCACACATAGGCAGGCCATGTGTCGCTCACCATCAAGTATTTGGCCTTGCCGTCGGGGAGCTGCATGGAGGACACAGAGAGACATGAGTAGGTGAGGTGAGTGAGTGAGTGGGTGGTCGGTCGATGTGATGGACGATCGGTCACCGCACCGACCAGTATGTAGCATGCGGGATGAAACGACACATAGCTGGGGTCAGCAGCGGTGAACGACTCCTGAGAACGCTTTATCTTAACACAACCACACAGTCACACACGCAGGAAGGTGCGTATGTCTCTCCATCCATCCATCCATTCATCCATGCATCCATCCATCCATCGTCTGACCCGGCTGACTCACCACGGATGCGTCAGCTCCCGGGAAGAGGAACCCACTCATGCCCGGCATCCTCTTGTCGCTGAACGGCCCCTTCTCAAGCTTCGGCTTAGCACCCAGCTTCGTCACTTTGGGCTTGCTCGGCGCCAGCTGCACACACACCGCACACCACACCACACACACAGACACACAGACACACACAGATGCTCCTCTCTGCCTGTGTCTGTCCCCCTCTGTCAGTCACCCTGTCAGTCACCTCTTTCCTGATATTGGAGAGATCTGCAGCGCTGCCGAATCCCTCCACAGCACACTGGTAGGTTGTGTAGTGAATGCTCCCGCCTGACACACCAAACCAAACCAAACCAAAACCAAACCAAAGCAGCCGGAAGGCCAGACATGCAACACGTACGTCAAATGGCTGGCTCGGCCTCACTCACTCACCGGCCTCTCCCATGGTGAGCTGCAGGAAGGTCTCGACCTTGTAGGGCACCGCTGGCGACTTGAATTGCTCTCGCGCCACCTGCGAACCGATGTCTGCCGGCACGCTGTCGAATCCGCAGGATCCGACGATGAGGCATCCGTTCCCTAGCGCCTGCTGGTGGTACTTGAGCTCCATCCTCTCCAAAAACTGCATGACGTGTACACAACACACCATACACACGTGACCGTCAAGAACGGCACGGAATCAGTCAAGGCAAGGCTGATGGATGGATGAAGAAAATGTGAGTGGAGAGGCGCGAGGCGAGCAGCCTAGCCTGCCCTGCCCTGCCTACCTCCGGTTCGCCTGCACGACAAGCACAGCACAGCACGTGACAAAACAGACAGACGTCCGGACAGAGTGAATGAGCCAGCACATACTCAGTGACTGACTGACCGCATATGTCGAGGTAGTGTGTGGCGCACTGGACACAAGCCTTGACCACCGCCTCGCCGTGGTAACGAAACTTAAACAAGACAAGACATGCATGAAGGATGGAATCGATACTACGGTTCACCCCCCCTCACTCACTTACTCACTCACTCACCGGGCCGACACAGTTGAGCAGGACCTTAGTCCGTTCACACATGGCCTTCATCGAGCCTGCACCCAGGCAGGCAGACAGACATGCAGTCGGTCGCCGACACATACATGCACCCGCACCATGGAGGCCTCCCTTGTGGTTGGCGGGTGTCTGACTTACCTTCATCGCTGACATCGGCAATGACCGTGGGGATGTCGGCAGCACCCACACGCTCCAACACACCTGAGCACACACGTGTGAGCACAGGGAAGAAAGAAAGCCATCCGTCAGCCATACACCCACTCGTGCTGGAAGTGCCATGCCTCTTCCTATGGGGGATGCCCACCTTTCAGCTTGTCTGCCGACCGACCCGCCACCGCCCTGAGCCAAGTAGAACACACAGGATAACACACACGCTCCATGCAGACCGACCCACATACAAGTGATCGATCTCAGCATACATACATACCATTTGATGGGTCTGGCCTCCTTTGCAGCGCCATCCTTGAGCGCCGACACAACATACTCACCTGCACAACACGGACACACACAGAGCACGCACTCAATGACATGCATCGCACCAGAGATCTTCATGCACCACAGCACAGCACAAGATGGCACACGCGATCATCAGGCAGGGCAGATCTCAGATTCGCCTTTTGTCTCTCAGAGCGGCCGGCCAGCTCAAGCTGCGGCTGCAGCGAGCTGCCAGCGCTCGGAGATCAAGTGTATTGGTCATCATGCGATCCCCCTTGCTGAGCTCCATCTACTCAGCACTGTCTGCCATTGATGTATGAGCCTACCTGTGAAGCCACTCGCGCCGAACACGACGATGTCGAAGGCCCTTTCACCCATGATCTCAGATTCTTGGCAAGACGGTTGAGAAAGTGCAAGTCGGTCCAGGGTTTAGGGTCTAGGGTTCATAGACCGACGATCTACTGATCTGTGAGACAGGACCGCTGTTGAATCTTTCGTTGGTCCGTTCCACGAACAGGTCAAGGACAGACGCCTACTACATGTTTACATGGACTTAATCCTCCGTTGCATTGACTTAATCCTTTATCCGGGACTGACCGCCCGGCAGATCCTCTTCACCATAACCCAAACCCACTTCTCACAGACCCTCCTGTAACCCATCGTTCGACCGCGCTCACGGGTTGGTTGGTTACGGTAACGGGCCCTGGGAATGCCAGGCCCTCCGAGTCTGGGGTAGACCCCTTTCCTTCCGTCATCATAGCTTCTCCATCATTTATTGCAACGCTCCACTCACACGCCACCTGCATAAAGGTGAGAGCCTCCTGTGACCTCTTCTGAACTGCATGGAGGGTCATGGCTGGCTCAGGCAGGACAGGTGATCGCGGGATGGGATGCTCCATGGCAGAGAAGAGGGGCAGGGAGGTGGGTAAGCATGTGCTGTGATGTGGTGCTGTGTGGCCTGCAGGTTAGTCTGAGCCCTATGGCCACTCCCGTTAGCCTCCCCGCGAGCGAGAGGCGAATCGCATCCAATGCCAGCACTCGAGCCACCACTAGAGTGCCTTCTGACGCCACTCAGGACTCGAAAGACGCCACCAGTAGTCGACAGATGAAGAACCATGAAGGTCAGCGCACTCAACGCACACAATATATAGACTATCTTCCCTCTTGGTGGTTCGGCGCACACATCCATCCATCCATCCCCGCATGTGTGTGTGCGTGTGTGTGCGTGTGTGTGTGTGTTGTAGGCCCGGTGAGCCTGTCGCTTCAGCTCGAGTACAGGACCATCGAGGCCAGCCAGAACTACAAGACCATCTACGCTCTGCTCAAGGCCAAACACACTAGTAGCGGGGGTGCGGGTGGTGCGGCCAAGGGTGAGGTCGGGGCGGATGTGGTGGCCATCATCGACTGCTCCAAGAGCATGGCGGGCCGCAGACTCGACTCAGCTAAGCGGGCGGTGGATTTCTGCATCAGCGAACTTGGCACCGGAGACCGGTCAGTCAGTCTGCAGATATATGTGGGAAGTGTCTGTGTGTCTGTGTGTCTGTGTGTCTGTGTGTCTGTGTGTCTGTGTGAGTGAGTGAGGTCATACCCTCATTCTGCTTCTTCTTTTCTCTGTGTCTGGTGGGTGCAGTCTGGCTATCGTATCGTTCAACAAGAGCGCCTCGGTGGTGATCCCCTTCGTGTCCATGGATGCCCAAAGTGGTGGCAAGGAGGAGGCCTCACACAAAGGTGGGTAGGTGGGTGGGTGGGTGCGGACGAGTGCATGGCCATGGGTGGCTTGGATGGATGGATGGATGGCGTGCAGTGATGGCGACCGAGTCCAAGAGCGGGACGAACATCGTGAAGGGGGTGGAGGTGGAGCCAGTGATTGATCCAAGCACACAAGACAGTCTTCTAGATTTTTGGCTGTTGGATGGATGGATGTGGATGCAGGAGGCTCTTGAGTTGTTGCTGCATCGCGAGTGGAAGAACCCAGTGACAAGTGCCTTTCTCCTGACCGACGGACAGGTCCGCACTCACTGCCAATGTGCTCCTGGCCGCATGATCTCGTCTGTGTCTGTGTCTGTGTCTGTGCCCACCCACACACCCACCTACAGGACAACACCACCCGGCGCGACGTGTATGGTCTCTCCAAGCGGGCCAGTGAGAACGACTGCACCATATTCCCCTTCGGTATGTATGTCTGCCTGTCTGTATGTCTGCACACACACATCATCACTGCTTCTCATCGATCGCTGCTCATCTCATTAATGTATCAGGTTTCGGCACCGACCATAATGCCCCCATCCTGCAGCTGTTTGCCGAGAAATCGCACACCCCCTTCACATACGTAGAGGTCTGGTCACATGACTGACTGCACGCAGCTCAGCTCACCTACACAGCCAGGGATCCATGTTGTGTGTGTTGTGTTGTGTTGTGTTGTGCTGTGTGCAGGGTCCGGATCAGATGCGTCAGGCGTTTGCAGGTGCCATCGGGGCCGTCAAGGCCGTGAGGGCCAAAAACATCGAAATCAGCCTCAAAGTGCCGTACCGTACCACCATACCACCCCGATACATACCCATGCCCATCCACCCCAAGTGTGTGTGTGTCTCGGTGTGCAGGCGAGCGCCACGGACGGGACCGTGATAAAGTCCATTGAGGGCGACTACCCCAAAAGCATCTTAGAGGAGGGCAAGAGGGCCACTGTCACCATACCGGACCTGCTCGAAGATGAGGAGAAATCTGTCCTGATCGAACTGAGCATTCCGGTACCCCCACCCACACAATCCTTCCCCCTCCAATGCACCCCTCTCCCCCTCCCTCTCCGTGTCGTGTTCTTGACAGGAGAAAAACTTCAGCTCCGATCAGCGTTCGGCGATCCTGTACGCCAAGGCGGCGTACGAGGACCTCGTGGGCAAGTGCACCTGCCACATCCCCCGCGCCATGCTGACGGTCAAGAGGGTGCGCGACGCCAGTCCCTTTGGAAGTGTCGATTTCCTCTACCAGGCAGACGAGGAGGTGTGTGCGTGCGGACCGAGGCAGATACAGACAGGGCATGGAGGGGATGGATGGATGGGTGGATGCGTGTGTTGTGTGCAGGTGATAGCTGAGCGTCAGAGGCTGACCTGGAGCATGGCCTTGAAGGATCTGACGGACACCGGTGAGTGAGTGGGTGGGTCGGTGGGTGAGGGAAAGAGGGAGGGAGGGAGGGAAGAGGCGGCCCAGCACCGCCCCGCTGCATGCTGTGTGTTTGTCTGTGTGTGTGTCGGTTTGTTGTGCCGCTACACATGATGGCAGTTGATTCGGGTGAGTTTGACGGCAGGGCTATGATGGACATGGTCGAGCAGGCGTGCGGCCAAATCGAGGTGGGTACCCATCACCCACCCTCTTCCCTCCCTCCCTCCCTCCCTCCCACTCGCCCACCCACCCACCCCACTCGGTAGAT